CAATCTTATGTTCTCGTCACTCTATGTATAATATTACTTCCGGTCCTTTTACAAGGTATTTTGATTTATCTTATATTTCATTAAATATGTTTTGTTAATAAAAAAAATTTAATAATATTTCATAATAATTAGAAAAATACAATGGATGTGAAAGTGTAATTTTAAAGTTTTTTTTTTCAATTGAAAACATATACTAAGTAAAATTTTTGACAAATCAAAATGCCTTATAATAAGACCGAGGAAGTGCTAACAAATCCAGCATTATCGATTTCATTTTTGTAGATTCTATGTTCCCCAACACAGAGCAATACGGAAATATCCGTGGCATTGTCACAGGAACTCAGATTGTGAGCGAACTTGTGAAGAGAAGGAAGTTTACCTGGGTCATTAATTATTGCAGGTCTGAAAATCACTGGCTTTTCCGTAAAATGCACCAATGATGCAATTTGCAAAGCCCTATCCATCTGCCATTTTATTGTGCCTATGGTTGAGTTTCTTCTTTTCTATTCTTTTTGTTGCAACAAATATTTGATTTGAATTGATAATGAAAATTCCGTAGAATATACTCTCCCGGTCTCAAAATTATTGTTCATTTTGCCAAAAAAGTATTTTCCCAAAATTATTATCTAATTTTACTTTTTTTGTTAAGTTACACAGATACCCTTTATCCCTAAAAAGAAAAAAAAAAACTCACTGAACCCATTTTCTCCATTATTCCCCACACACAGTAGAACCAAACAACCCCAGTAGCTCCTAACGGCGGTTCTCCGACGACTCCAATCAGCGGGGGTTCTCCAACGACTCCAAGCAGCACCGGTGGTTCTCCGACAAATCCAAGCAGAGTAAAGAATACTTGGCCGGGGGTTACTCAAAAAGAATATAGAGAAGAAATTTCACAAATTCCGACTACTCCAACTCCAAGCAGCGGTTAGATTTGAAGGAAATTCGCTGCAAAATATAATAATTATTGTGATGGAGGAGCATCAGATTGAAAACCCAAGTCAAATTCAAATCATTCGTACGAAGTTTTTGTTTGATTGGCGGCTCACAGTTGAAAACTTCTTTCAATCTAAAAACTTTTCAATGAAATTGAAGAATTGTATTTATAAATACTAAATTGAAATGTAGAATGAGAAGATTCTCCAAAATTTGAAGTTCTTCCTTGAATTGGTTCGATGAAATTGAAGAAGTGAAGAATTGTTCTTGTGAAAAAACAATTGGCCTGAGATGGGTTTTGGAAAGCATTGTTCTTGCGCTCTGAGATGGGTTTTGGAAGGCCGATTAAACCATTTATGTTTGAAGGGGTATATTTGGAAACTTGTGCCAAAAAAAGGTTGAGTTTGACTAAAAATAAAATCTTGTATTATAATAAAGCTATACAATAATTTTGGGACGGAGGAAGTACATAAAGATTTGATTTGAATTGTGATAAAATTCGGTAGAATATATATCATATATAATCCTTGATTAACAATTCATCCAGACAAATAACAAAGAAGAGAAAAAATAAGCCTTGGAAATAAAAAGAAAGCCTTGATGTGTTAAGGATGATGAGGAATGTTTACTTTCCGCACACGGCGTCCTCGGAGACCCACTTACTAGATCTTTCATGCGAGATCATCATGGGAAGATCAAAAATAAGTTTGCCTATTAAAAGACGCCTCTCTCTCATGGGAAGATAGCTAGGCCAAATTCGTGTTATTTTCCATGCCAATGTACGTTAATTCTGGGCAGGCTTTATATGGAGAAGTGATCAAGATGACATAAAGATCCACTGGTTCGCATGGTTCAAAATCAGTAGTTCAATTTTTCATCAAGGGAGTTAAATCAAGCTCTACTGGCTAAGAATTGTCATCAGTCAACCAAAAGTTTTCTTCGTCGGACGTATCTTCAATGGTAACTATTGTCCTATTGAACAGTTTCCAAACTGAATCCAATTTTCGTGGGAGCCGAATATTCTTTCCTGACACAACACTTGGACAATCAATTCAGCCTAAAATTTGGATGAACATACACCAAAAAAAAAAAAAAAGAAAAAGCATTCAAGTATGCACTTTAAATATAGTTTACATTTTTGTTATTTACTGATATTAATATATATTACCAAAAGAAATAAAACTAAACTGCAATATTACTGAAAGTTTACTAATAGAGGTAAACTGAAAAAGCATTCAAGCTTTTCTACTAATTAAATTACATCAAGTGAATATGATATAAGATTAAACGAAGACATTTATGACATTTTAGATATGGGAATTCGCCTAACAAAATAACATGCTTAAGTTCATAAGCATGATGAATGGGATGGCCAGTTATAAATCTAGGGGTAAATTTCTTTATATCCAGGTAAAACCTTTTTAAAATCCTATTTTACCCTTCCTAAATATTTTAAACCTTTGCCAACAAGAACATGGCTGCTCAAAATTTTTTCTCCTCTTTTTATGCTGCTCATCTCTTTCTCTCTCTCTCTTAGTCTTTTCTGCGTATTTATTTTTCCCCTAAAAAATTTACTTCTTGAGAATTTTGAATGAATCAGTAATATAAGTGATTGATGATGAATAAAGATGGAAATTCTATTAATAAGATGTACTCCCTCCATCCCATAATTATTGTCCAATTTGGATTTTTCATCTCTAATTCAAAATTGTACTAAAAATGAAATTTAAAACTATACAATAATTTTGAGACAGAGTGAGAATTAAATTATAATTTCAAACTGTCCAATTGGGTTTTCATCTCTAACGCGTCTGGTCAAACTTTTGCATAAATTGGGCCAACTATATGAAAAAAATACTAAAGATTAGGACGGGTAACCACCAAGTAGATCCATCGACCGACCAAATGACGACAATGCTAAGGATCAGAGAGAGGAGATTCCTCCACTAGCAAAAGATGATGATTTTGTTGCATCACAAAGTAGTAGGTTTCACTTCCAACAAGGCAACCTCAGTAAAAATATCCAAAGCATATTTTCATTGATATAGGAAACTGTTAGATGCATTTCGAGCCACCTGATGTCCTAATAAATATTTAAGGACCCCAAGATTCTTCATATGAAAAATGTTACTCAAATGTGCGTTAAAGGCAGAGATGGTGGCACTATCATTGCCACCAATCAAAAGATCATCAACATACACCAACATGCTTAGGCATACAGTACCACAATGAGGGGTAAATAAAGAATAGTTAGAATAATATTGAAATGCTTGAGAGCACGGGCCAACTTAGTAAATCAGAAATGTGGTGCCTGTTTGATGTCATAAAGACGCTGACAAGGACAACATACCTGTCCAAGAGCTCTAGAACGAAACTGGGAGGGAATTTCATATACACTTCTTCATGTAAATCACCATGAATAAAAGCAGTGTGTACATCTATTTGATTAACTACCAATTCTTGGCAGCTGCAACCACCAAAAATGTCGAAGGCATCACCATTTTGGCAACAAGCCCAAATGTCTCTTGGCAGTTAATTCCTCCAAGTTGATTGTTGCCCAGAATAACCAAACGAGTTTTGTACTGCTCAACAGAACTGCCATTCATGATGATTTTAAAAATTTATTTACAATCAATGACTCATTTTTCAGGAGGAAGAGAGGTAATCTCACAAGTTTTACTATTCTCTAAGGCGTGAATTTCATTATGCATGGCAGAATGCCATTTTGCATTCTGCATGGCCTCATGAAATATACGAGGCTCAATACGTCTAGTAATAGCTGCCAAGAAAACTTGATGATGTGGTGAGTGTCCCTGTTTTCTCAGGGCTTTTGTCAACAACTGTGTCCATTAGCTGACATTTGCAAAGATGAGGACATCGATGGCCTTGTGATTCTTTCAATTGATCTTCTTAACGAAGTATTTGGAGAAATAAGGTTTCCCTTCCCTAACCAATACAATTCAAGCGTCCAATATAAATGAGGTCATTATTTATAAGGGTAATGTTTCTTTTTTTTGGAACCCAATTTCCCTGTGTCACTAATTAACAATGTTGTTCATTCTTGATTATGGATGAATATGGGAATGAAGCATCCTGGACTACTCTATTGAATGTTATCCTTAATGGTTTGTTCATGATCCTTCGATGATTACTGTGAATGATGAACTTTTGTACATGAAAGTTATTTTGATGACAGAAAAATTGGGTTATATTTGCATAATTTCCGAAGCAATGAGCCTAGGTATTTTGGGAATGATCAGATTGAAGGAGCTGATAACTAGGACTTTCCCCATGATGGGCAGCTGTTGAATCCAAAGATTAAACTCAGGGAGATTGATGAAGAAAAGCTGTCATAATAATTTAATAGATTTCTGTATTTGTGATTGTATTTTCTGCCCTAGACTTGAACTTTGTCAAATGAATGTGTACTTTCCATGAATGTTTTTAAGAATGTATGAATATAATTTTTTTTAATTATTTTGTGAATTTCGAAGAATATGATTCATTACAAATACTTTTTTATTGTGAGATATAATCATTGTTGATTGTTGGATTTCTTTTTTTTTTTTTTTGGAGAATAAAGCAGAATAAAAATTGCTTCCCGCAAAAGTTTGAACTTAAAAAAGTATGAATTCAGTTTTATGAAGAGATTTTGGATGTTTTGAATTGGAACCTAACTATGTCCCCCACAATATAAATTTACAGAGAGACTAACATATAACAAATGATTTTGGATGTTTTGGCCATTTTTCCATACAAAATTAGTAATTAGCGACCGTAAGCGTTCAGTATTCATGGCAGAAGTTTCTTTTTTATTTGCAAATGAAGTAGTTTGAGCTATAGATTTTTTTATCACATCTTATTAATCATGCATATGCTTTGGGCCATATTTATATTCAATCTTCATTTAAACTTGGTACACATATCATCTCTTAACTTGGAAGATCTTTTCATTATTTTTTAGCAGAGTAGAACTATTAAGTCATAAGTAGTTCTGAATCTCTCTCTAAAAATCCCTCTCTGACTTCTCTCTATAATGTTTTATCCGGAAACCCTACCTCCTTATGGCTGCTAAACGGCCGCCGGATGATCATGGGCAAAAGCTGCCCTCTTTTGCTCAAATTCTAAATGGTTCTAAAACAAATCCTAGAAACAACATCAATCCGGCTGGTATCTCTAAATCATTATCTCATCCTATCACATCCAAACCCTCAGTTTATCAAGGCGACCCCGCTTTTTTTTTAACAAAAGATGAAGATGATTTATTGGCGGCGCCTTTCAAATTATCACTGGTTGGGAAGTTTTCAAAAGGAAGACCGAAGATGGATTTTTTATGGCTTCAATTTCAGAAAATCAGATTTAAAGGAAGCTATTCTCTTGGAATGATTGATCATCGCCATATTCACATTCTTTTTGACTTGGAAGAGGACTACCATCGATGTTGGATCAAAGGGCTCTGGACGTTTGATTATCACGTTATGCGGGTTCTTAAGTGGACTCCGCAATTTCATCCAGAGCGTGAATCGCCCGTTGTCCCTGTGTGGATTGCTTTTGAAGGGCTTCCAATTCATCGTTTCAATGAGGATTATCTTAGTCGTTTGGCGAGCATTGTTTGATCTCCGCTAAAAATCGATATCCCGACTCTAAACTTATCAAGGCCGTCAATCGCTAGGGTTTGTGTCGAAGTCAATCTGCTACAAGATCTCCCAAAAACAACTATTTGGCACGGAGGAATACTCGTACTACCAAGAAATTACCTATGAAAAATTTCCAGAATATTGTTCCGAATGCAAGAAAGTCAAAAAATTGCCAGAATATTGTTCCGAATGCAAGAAAGTCGGCCATGGAAAACAGCACCAAAGGTCACGCGGCAAGCCAAAGGTCACGGCTAAGGATCCGAAAACAGTGCCATTGAAGAATGCGGGTGAGAAATTGAAAACCCCAGTCAATACAGCCTAAGCAACCTGGAAACAAAAGCCACAAGCGGATCAACCAAACACGGATACTCAAAGGACAGATTCAAAAGCATCATCATCTGGTCTTTCGCATATAGAGAAGCTTGATACCCCAATTGACGTAGTGGATAGAAGTCCACTTAATCCGTCGTCGGGAAAGAGGAAAATAACGAAAGAAAAACTGGCCACAATTCTGGAGAATAGCAAGGAAGGGGCAAAGTCGGATACCCCATGGGATGTGCATGATCAAAATCCAAAATTGCAGACTGAGGAAAATGGAGGTAAACATCTCGCTGTTTACGTTCCGCAGGTCAATCACTCATCGCGATTTGCGGTGCTGGATAATCTATCACAGGAACAGCTAGTTGAAAAGATTAATAACGATGCAGATGAAAAGGAAGAGCAACTAGAAGGGTTTGTTGATTCGGCGATTGATTCAGACTCTGATGCGGAAGGATTTGGTTCGGATACTGAAACTAATACGAAAAATCCAATAAGGATAGTTAATGATGGAACGCAAGATGATGCTTCGATTAGACTTAGCAGCAAGGAAACAGAATTCGAAAATGATAGATTTGTGGTATCCGATGGAGAGGATCATAAGAAAGCAAAGGTTGGCCGGCCCCGGGGATCGACTAAAAAGTCGCAATTGCGTCTCTCAGAAACTCGCAAGTCTGCGAGACTTCATGGTGTTACACCTCCGCAAGTTTCCGATGAATAATCAATTAATATGGAATATACGCGGCGTTGGAAACAAGCCATCTCAATGTCGTCTCAAAAATTTGGTTAGGCAGAATTCTGTTTCCTTTTTGGTTTTATTGGAGCCAATGATTCCGGTTTCACAGCTAGAAGTACTTAGGAATAAGTTACGGTTTCGGGAAGCTTTCGCTTCGGTTACTAGAAAAATTTGGGTCTTTGCTTCTTATGATTAGGTGGTTAATTTGCTCGGAGGTTCTGAACAAGCCATGCATTTTGAAATTGAAAAACAGAAAATAGGAGGAAAACTTTTAATATCGGCGGTTTATGCAAAGTCTACGTGTCAAGAGAGACAGGTTTTATGGACTGAATTACGAGATTTTATTGGAAGTTATTCTGGTTTGCCGTGGATGATTGGAGGAGATTTTAATGTCATTCGGCATATTGGTGAAACATGAAGGACAGTCGCAGCAAGATAGAGGGTCAATGGATGATTTCAACTCATGGATAAATGACTGTAATTTGACGGATTTAGCTCCAGTGAGAAATCTTTTTACATGGACGGGAACTAGACAAAATGGAAAAGTGCTGAAAAGGCTTGATCGTGTTTTGTTAAATAAGGAGTGGATGGAGTTCTTTCAAGCATCATCGATGCATCATTTAAATAGAACAACTATGCTCCCTTGCTTCATCAATTCAAAGCTGATATGGATATGCGACCTAGTCTTTTTCGGTTCCAGAAGATGTGGTTACATAGAGAACATTTTCTTGATGTGGTTAATGATAGCTGGACCCAGGAAATTTCAAAGATGGGGATGCTTGGTTTCTCTCTAAAATTGCGCAGGCTGAAGGCATGTCTAAAGGATTGGAATAAATTCATATTTGGCAATGTTTTCCAGAATCTGAAAGCGACTGAGGAGGAGGTACAACTTAAGGAAAGCATATATGACCAGACTGGGATTATTTTAGATAGAGCGGAGCTACACAAGTCGCAAGCTACTATCCTCTTGAAATTGAGAGAACATGATGATTTCCTCCAGCAAAGATCGAAACTTAAATGGCTTCGTGATGGTGACGCGGATACAGCATTTTTTCATGTCTCCTTGATTGAGAAAAAACCTCGTCTAGGCATCCACAAAATCAGAGGAAGAAATGGCTCATGGCTGACATGTAGGGAGGACATTGAAGAGGAAGCAGTAGGGTTTTTTAAAAACTTGTTGACGGAGGAGGTTTCTGATAATCATGAGGAAGCATCTACCCGTCTACTTCAGACCATCCCGGCTGTTTTAACCGCAGAAGATAATCAAGATCTTCTGATAAGTATTACAATGGAAGAGCTTAAGGAGGTTGTTTTCGGATTAGACCCCTCTAGTGCGCCGGGAGTTGATGGTTTTGGGGGGGATTTTTATTGTCATTGCTGGAACGTTATTAAATATGATCTCCTGGATGCTTGTTCTGATTTTATGAAGGGTACTCCTATTCCTCGAGCTATTGGCAGCATTATTATCACTTTGATTCCAAAGAAATCCACTGCCACGACATTTGTGGACTTCCGGCGGATTAGCTTATGCAACTTCATCAATAAGATTTTTACGAAGTTAATGACGGAGCGTCTGAAAAAAGTTCTACCTAGATTAATCTCGGATGAGCAGTCAGCCTTTTTAGCTGGGAGGGATATTGTTGATAACATTCTTTTAACTCAGGATTTGGTTCAGTTTATAGATCATCCAGCAAGCGGGGAAAATTTAGTTCTGAAAGTGGATATGATGAAGGCGTTCAATCGTGTCTCATGGAGCTTTTTGCGTAAATTATTGCTCAAGTTTGGGTTCTATGATCATTTTGTGGCATTAGTACTGTCCAATCTTGAAAAGAGTTGGTTCTCCATTCTCATTAATGGTAGTCCTGTGGGGTTTTTTCCGGCTTCAAGGGGTATAAAGCAAGGCGATCCATTGTCACCATATTTGTTTATTCTCCTTTCGGAAGCTCTTACTCAAAACCTAAGGAAATTAACGGATGAAGGGAAGATTGCTTATTATGGAGTACCGGCAAAAGCAATGATTCCGTCGCATTTGTGCTTTGCGGATGATCTAATCATCTTTTCAAGAGGATTAAAGCATTCTATGCAAAATTTGGTTTTTTTTCCCAAGACTATGAGGCAGCCACGGGTCAAAAGATGAACAAACAAAAGAGTTGCTATTATGTCTCGGAGAAAAGCTCTAGTATACATTTGCAATTGGTAAGCCACACTCTTCAAATGCCACAAGGGTCTTTCCCATTTATTTATCTGGGATGCCAAATCTCTAAGGGGAGGAGAAAAGTAGAATTTTTTCAGAATTTGTTGGAAGCCTTTGATACTAAGATATCGAACTAGAAGAATAGATTCTTAATGCAAGGAGGCAAGTTGGTGTTAATTCGGCATGTACTTTCAGCTCTTCCTTTACATACTAATGCTGCAATTGAAACCCCAAAAATAATCATATCTGAGTTGGAGCGCAAATGTCAACAATTTTTTTGGGGAGAAAGAGAGGATGGGAATAAAAGGCATTGGCTGCATGGACTCATCTAGTAGCACCGATTGAAGAAAATGGCCTTAATATTCGCAGCCTTGGATATGTAATAAAGGCTTTTTCTCTTAAGCTCTGGTGGAAGGTCAAGAATGGTACAGGCATATGGGCAAAGTTTATAGGATCGTTGTCAAAATCTTCAAAGGAGAGGACAAGCTGGCTACGAACGAACAAGGTTCATCAGCTCGCGTTGTCAGCTTCGCAACTGGAAATACGAAATGGATCATCATCATTCTGGTTCTCTTGTTGGCTCACGTCATCACGAATCAGGACTGTGGAAGAGGAACCGCCGATACCTTATTTAATAGTTTCTGATTTTTTCCAAGCTAAGGTTTTCTTTTCGCAGGTTTTTTCTGGCTTGTTACAACCCGAAGTTGAGGGGCAGCTGCGCAAAATGGAGATGTTCTTTTCAGATGAGCCTGATAAGCTCGTGTGGACTCCCTCAACAACAGGAGATTTTATAATCTCATCAGCCTACAGAGCAATCCGGCACCAAAGAGAAGCTTTTCCGTTTCTTAAAAATTTTTGGAATAAAATCATCCCACTTAAAGTATCTTTTTTCATTTAGAGGCTATATAATCACTTGTTGCCTTTTTCTGAAATCTTATGCAGAATGAACTTGACACTATATCCATCAAGGTGGTCCTTTTGTCAGGTAGCGGATGAAAGCTTGGACCATGCTTTTTATGGCTGCCCGCGTATTAAACAAGCTTGGAATTATTTTGCGGCTGTGTTAGGGCTTCCGAGTCAAACTGCTGGTTGGTGAAGCATTGTTTAGTCGTGGCAAACAATTGGAAATTTCTCTACGGCAAGAAAAGCGATTATTGTGGTTGCTCCTCTATTCTTGTTGGGGGAAGTGTGGAAGTTCAGAAACAAAATAATCTTTGAAGGTACATCTTTTTCTTTTGAGGCTTTGGTTAAGAATGTTGTTTCTAACATCTCTCGAATGCTAAGTGTACATAAAATCCATGCTAAGAATCTTGAGGAGAGACAAGAAGTTGAGAGTTTGTTTCAAGTTAAAGTGCTACATCCGCCAAAGAAAACGATCAAAATTGTGAATTGGAAACCTCCGGATCCAGGGAAGTATGTTTTGAATACGGATGGATCAGCATTGGGGCAACCGGGTGATGCTGGTTGGGGATACATCTTGAGAGGCCAAAAAGGAGTTTTTATTTGTGCAGAGAGTAAATATATCGGAAGTGCAATGAGCTTGGAAGCTGAATTACTTTGAATTTATTATGGTTTAAGGGCTTGCATTAGGAAGGGTTTGCGCTTTATTGAGGTTCAAACAGATAACCAGGTCATCACAATATGTTTACAAAAGGGCCATAGTTATCCATGGAAGCTTTATCGTCATTTTTGCGGAATCCAGAGCATGTTACAACAATCGCAATCAAAAGTTGTGCACATATACCGAGAGGTAAATAGCGTGGCAGATGATCTTGTGAAACAAGCTTCGGCTAGGGTTTTATGTCATTATAATAACTTTGGTGAATTTCCGGCATCAATCCATGGAAAAGTTCACCTCGATCAATCTTTATTCCCTTATATTAGGATTAAATAGTCTCTAAATCTTCAGAAAATCTAGATGGAGTTGCCAGAGGATTTATGTTTCTAATCTTTGTAAGGCAAGCTCCTAGGTACCTAGATAGGAAAAGTGAACTGTCAGGAGACTATAGTTTTATCTTTGTAAGACAGTTCCTAGTGTAATTGCATAAGAATCGTCAGGGATTTTACTAGAAAACTTTGTAAGACGGTTCTTTTTCGTTTGGGTAAGCTGTAAGTAATGCCTTATGTAACTTTTGCTATTAATTAATAAAACCGGGGTCCTCCAGCCAAGTACCGTCAAATTTGGATGCTCCTAAAAAAAACGAACAGCACACATCAAATTTGGACTCGACCAACGGACTTGGTTTCGTTGACGCACTAAATTCACTCAGTAAAGAAACAATCGTCTATACTGAGGGTGGGCTATCCCACTTGATTGAATTAAAATACAATAATAAAAAAGCCAAAGGGCAGCAGAGAGGCAGAGGCAGAGGGCGGCAGCAGCGGAATAGCAGAGGGCGGTAGAGGGTGGATCGAAGGCGGCAGTGGGTAGATCGCTCAAAGGCAGCGGAGGGTGCAGCGGTGCGGTAGAGGGCAGCAGCCGGCAACTGGTTGATCGATCGAGGGCAGCAGAGGGTGGATCGAGGGCGGCTGAGGGTGCAGCAGTGCAGCAGAGGCGGCAAAGGGCGGCAAAGGGAGGCGGAGATTGGAGGCCGACCGAATTGAAGAAAAGAAGCGGGAGATGAAAGCAGAAAAGTAAATAAAAGTAAAAGAGAAGAAAAAACAACAGGACTCCCCCAACGGCCATTAATGGAGGTTGAGGGCAGAGGAATTTTTTGGTAGGGGAGGGGGATTGTTTAGTGAGAAGGGAGAGAAAAGGATAGTAGAGAGACACGTGCTACGGAATAGGCAA